GGGGAGCTGGCTTACCTCATCCGCGCGGGGCTCGTCGAGCTCCCGTGCGTCGGAGGGTGGTAGAGGCCCCGGCCAGCAGACCCATCCCCCCATGGGAGTAGCCGCTGTCTCAGACAGCCTGCCACCTCCGGGGGGGCCGTCCCCGGCTACGACGTAGGAGTCTGCCGGCCCCCGATCAAAGCGCGCCGGCCGCGCGGGGAAGACTCGCGGCCGCCTGCAGGAGGAGGAGGAGGAGGAGGAGGAGGAGGGAGGAGGAGGGAGGAGGAGATAGGAGGAGGAGGAGGAGGAGGAGGAGGAGGAGAGAGGAGGAGAGGAGGAGGAGGAAGGAGGAGGAGGAGGAGGAGGAGGAGGAGGAGGAGGAGGAGGATAGGAGGAGGAGGAAGGGGAGGGGGAGGAGGAGGAGGAGGAGGAGGAGGAGGAGGAGTGAGGATGAGGAGGAGGAGGGGAGGAGGAGGAGGAGGAGGAGGAGGAGGAGGAGGAGGACGGGGAGGGGGAGGGGGAGGGGGGGAGGGGGGAGGGGGAGGAGTAGGAGGAGAAGGAGGAGGAGGAGGAGGAGGGAGGAGGAGGAGGAGGAGAGGAGGAGGAGGAGGGGAGGAGGAGATGGGGGAGGAGGAGGAGGAGGCAGGAGGAGGAGGGGAGGAGGGAGGAAAGGGAGGAGGAGGAGGAGGAGGAGGAGGAGGAGGCGGAGGAGGAGGAGGAGGAGGAGGAGGAGGAGAAGAGGAGGAGGAGGAGGAGGGGAGGAGGAGGAGGGAATAGGAGGAGGGGGAGGAGGAGGAGCGGGGAGGAGGGGGAGAAGGGGAGGCAGGGGGAGGAGGCGGGCGGGGGGAGAGGGGCTGGGGGGCGGGGGGCGGGGGGGGGGCGGGGGCTGGGGGCAGGGGGCGGGGGTAGGGGGAGCGGGAGGGGGAGGGGGAGGGGGGGGGGCGGGGGCGGGGGGCGGGGGGCGGGGGGATGGGGGAGGGGGAGGGAGAGGGCGAGGGCGAGGGGAACGGGGGAAGATGGGAGGGCGGAGGGGAGGGGGGGGGGGGGAAAGGGAGAGGGAGGGGGGAGATGGAAGGGGAAAGGGGGAAACGAGCCAGGAAAGCGGGAAGGTGGGGAGTGAGAAGGGAGAGGGCGAGGGAGGGGGAAGGGGGGAGGGGGGAGGAGGGAGGGGGAGGGGGGGAGGGGGGGGGGGAGGGGGAGGAGGAGGGGGAGGGGGATGGGAGGAGGGGGGGGGGAGTTTGGAGGGGGAGGCCGGAGGGGGAGGGGGACGGCGCCGCCGCAGTGGCCAAGGCAGTCAGGTTCACAGGCCGACTTGCGAGAGTTGCGCACAGCGGGCCTCTCGGCAGGCGCAACCTTCACGCTTCTCCGCACTTGTGCTCAAGGCGCGGTGGCGCACCACTTGCGGTCCAATCGCGACCTCTCTTGGGTGGGCCAGTTCGACGGCGGGATCTTCGGTTACCTTGAAGAGTTCATCGGGGCGGCCCTGGGCCCCGAGCAGCGCGCGCAGGCCACCATGCGCCTGAAGGACGGCGGCATCTCCCTGCCCTCAGCCCTGGCCATCTCGTCCGCGGCGTACGCGGCGAGCTGGGCCCTGACCCTGAAGGATGTGGCTCGCGCCGCAGGATTCCCGAGCTGGGAAGACTTTCGGGCGCAATGCCCCTTGACACACCAGGGCTTGCTGGAATCTGATGCAGACCTCCGGGCCCAGGGGTCCATGAGCGGTGAGTTCGACTGGGTGGGCTGCTTCCAGGACCCTGCTGCCAAGCCCCAGGGCACGTGGGGCAAGGCACGCTCGGCGGCCACTAGGGCCCGCCTGCTCGGGGCGCTCGAGGAAGACGACCGCCTGGCGCTTCGCGGAGCGGGAGGCACCGGGGCCGGCGGTTTTGTTCTGCTCGCCGAAGAAGACGACCCGGCCATGCCAGACAAGCACTTCCTGACTGCCTTGAAGTTACGACTCCGATGCGATGTCTGCCCACGAGGCGCCGTATGCCAACACCGGCGCGCCGACGGTACAGTTTGCGGCGTGCCCCTGGACCGGCGGGGATGGCACGCGAGGTGCTGCGAGGTGGGCCAGTCTCGCACAGCCCGGCACGACTAAATGCGAGATTGGCATGCGAAGCAGCACGCCCGCCTTACCGGTTACGCCGCGCCCACCGAACAGTTCGTCCCAGCCTGGGACCGCATTTATCCCCGCACCAGGGTGCTCGAGGCTGCCAAGCTGGACATCGCTACCCGCGACCCCACCACAGGTCGCGACTTCTTCGTTGACTGGAACAGTACCTGCGAATACTCGACCTACGCCCCTCGCAGGCAAGCGTGCTCCAACAACGATGGCGTCGCTGCGGCGGCCGCGGTGCGGAAGAAACGGAACCGGTATCCCCCGAACGGGGGGTGATCTCGCCCCCCTCGTCTTCGAGACGTTGGGGCGCCCATCGGACGAGGCCGAGGAATTCATCCGGGCGTCCGGCCGCTGCGTCGATGAGGCGGCCCAGGGCGAGGTACTGGGCGGGCTATGGCGGCAGCTCTCTCGCCAGCTTCAGCGCGGCAGCACTGAGATGGTGCTGAGCGCGACCACCGCAAAGACCACCACGACCACCACGACCACCGCCGCCCTACCGACCACCCCGACCAGCTCGACCGCCGCAGCTACCACCGCGACCACCGCGACAACCACCACGACCACCACACAACCACGGCAACCACCACGACCACCACGACCGCCACGACGCTCCGACATCCGCCCCCCGCCTCCCGCCTCTTCCCTCCCCTCTCCCGCCTCTTCCCCTCCCCCCGCCTGGCCGCCTTTGCATGCTGCCCCAAGCCTGCCCTGTCGTGTGCCGGCTTAATTTACCTTCATTGCCGGAGGCTGGTCTCCGAAGGGCGACCGGCTGTGGTGTACAGGTGGCAGACTGAGTGGACCACCGCTCAGGGCAGCCTCCTGAGTGCTGGCGGGGGCGCCAGACCCACGGCCAGCGGGAGGGGGAGGGGGAGGGGGAGGAGAGGGGGCGGGGGAGGGGGAGGGGGAGGGACAGGGGGGGGGGAGGGGGGGAGGAGGAGGTGGAGGGGGAGGGGGGAGGGGGAGGGGGAGGGGGAGGAGCAGGAGCGGGAGGGGGAAGGGGGAGGGGGGGGGGGAGGGGGAGGGGGAGGGGAGGGGGAGGGGAGAGGGGAGGGGGAGGGGGCGGGGGAGGGGGAGTGGAGGGGGCGGTGGAGGGGGAGGGGGAGGGGGAGGGGGGAGGGGCCAGGGAGGGGAGGGGGAGGAGGAGGTTGCATGCGGCCCTGGATGTGTCACTCGTTGCCAGTGTTTTGATTCCGAACGTGTTCAGAAGAAACAAGAGACCTTGTTGCCCCGAAGGAGAGAGGAGAAGGAGGAATGCGATGCGGAGCAGGAGGAGGAGGAGGAGGAGGAGGAGGAGGAGGAGGAGGAGGAGGAGGAGGAGGAGGAGGAGGAAGAGGGGCATTTTGAACGATGTTGAGGTATCTTGCGCCATCTTTGAGGCCCTCTTGAGCTTTCTTGGGCCCTGTTGGAGCCATCTGGGGCCACCTTTCACGCTCTGGCGGCTCCGTCCCCCACCCCTCCCAGGCCCAGGGAAGGGGGTAGGGGGAGAGATGAATCCTTCACCCGAGCAGAGGAAGGAGGTGTTGTGGCAGGGAGCTCCGTTAGAGCACTCAGCCCTCGGCATTCGGAAAAGTCCCGATGGCACAAGCAATAACGTTCGGAGATCCGCACGGGTTCCTTTTTGGGGGTCGGCGCTGGACTCCCTTGGCGGCGCCCCAGGCGCCACCCCTGACGCGCGGAGCGCCCCAGGGAAGACATCCGCGCGGACGTCCGAATGTTTATGGGTATGCTGAGCTCTCTTATTAGTATTGCTGTTCTTCTTCTTCTTCTTCTTATTCTTCTTCTTCTTCTTTTTATTTTTATTATTATTCTACGTGACTTCAGTTTTCCCCACTCTCTCCTGAGGCTGTAGTGGATGGAGTGCGTGCTGCGGACACGGCGTTGTTGCGACAGGACCGGGTGGTCGCGCTCCAGATGTTGGGAGGGCCTTCGTGCCCGCCAGAGCAGGCAGGCTTAGAGGCTACGAGCCCCTCGAGCGACGACATGCTCGAGATCCAGCGGCGGAGCTGCGCGGATGCGGACTTGACCACAGAGGAGGCTGTCCACAGCATGCCTTCGTCTCCCCAGGATGGCTGCGGTCGGAGGAGGCCTGCCTCGCCCTGACGCGCGTCCCCTGCAGGCCCAGAGGCCCCCAGAGCGGGGCACACGACTCGTGGCCGGCCTGGGCGAGGGCTGGATGCGCACGCAGCTTTCCGTCTGCATGCTGCGCTCGGCCCCAGCATGGCGGGGGATGCCCACCGCCCGCGTGTGCATCCAGCGCATGACGTCCGCACGTTGTGCTGCGAATCCCGCCTCTCGTGTGTCAAAGGGCTGCCTTCTTGCGCTCGGATATGCGATGAGATCACCTGCTGTGGCCCAGCGGACACGTGTGACGCGAGATGCCGCGAGGCCTGGGGCACACGCGAACACACAGACACACAGACACACACACACACACACACACACAGACACACAGACACACAGACACACACACACACACACACACACACACGGGCACACACACACATGGGCACAGACACACACACACACACACACACACACACACACGGGCACAGACACACACACACACACACACACACACTGGCAAGCGCTCCGCTCATCGCAGCAGTAGGAGGCACTACGCTGAGACTCGAGGGCCATCTTCCTCTTTTTCCTTTTCTTTTTCCTCCTCGTCCTTGTCCTCCTCGTCCTCCGCTCTCCCCCGCCTGACGATTTTCTTACGCACGCTTCTCTTACTCATTTCTCCTGATCCCTTTCTCCCCGCTCCACGCGAGTCCTCCACCCACCCCTCCTCCACGAGTTTCTCCACTCTTCTTGATACCCTCGGATACTCCGTAGCCACGGGCCCCGACTAATCACGTACCTCGTCATCCATCGCCTTCCACCTCCTTGTTCCCCCATTCAGGATGACTCGTACTTCCTCGACCCGTGGGTGGAAGCCATCGACACGGACGGGGCCAGAAACTATTCACAGAACAGTCGAGGCTGACAGGTTGCGGATCAACGTGGCGTTCAAGGGCCCCTTCTGTTCTTCACTTCGTCACCTTGTCCTCGCACTTCAGCAACATTCCAACTCCCCCCGTTTTCGTCCAAAGAGTGGCCCCGAGAGGGAGGACCACTTCGTCCATCAGAGTGCCTACGCAGCTTGCGTATCAGTCAAGGTATCGGCCTGCCAGCAGGTGCCCCAGGGATATGCCTCATCCACCGATGGCCCCAGGGACGCACAGAAGCTCTGGAGCACTCGAGGGCCTTCACAGATCGACGAAGGATGTGCCCGTATGTTTCTTATAGCAGGTCTTTTTTTCTATCGTATCGCACGCGCCTACTGCACGCTCGGCGCATTCATGTTTCGCATTTGCGTCTGCCGCCGGCGTTGCCAGAGGCGTGGCGGGAGCGACACGCGGCGCTCACCGCATGTCGAGTGAGCGACATTGATGTGTTCGCCCAGGCGCCACGCAGAGTTCTGTGGACACCGCGCTGCCGCATGGGGCTTTGTGTTTGGTATGTACGTGTGCTTGCCCAGCCACTGTGTTGTGTGTGTGGTGTGTGTGTGTGTGCTGCTTGCCGCTCTTTCTTGCCTTGCCGGCGCGCGCGCGCCCGCAGACCTGCTATTCCTTCTGGAGCTCGGGCAGGCCAGCTAACGCCCAAAAAGTGTGTTTGTGTGTGTGTGTGTGTTCGTCTGTGCGTGCGTGTGTGTGTGTGTGTGCGCGCGTGTGTGTGTGTGCGTCTGTGTGAGTGTGTGTGTCTGTTGCGTGAGTGTGTGTATGTGTGAATGTGTGTGAATGTGTGTGTGCGTGCGTGCGTGCGTGCGTGCATGTTTTTTTGAGGGCGATGGGGGCAAGAGCAGCAGCTCCCTCCCTCCTCCCTAGTCCTTCTCCCCTCCTCTTCCCCCTCCACCCCTTTCATCTTGCCCCCCTCCTTTTTCTCCATCTCCTCTTCCTCTTCTCCTCGTCGCCTTTCTCCTTCCACCCTCCTCTCCCGGCCCATCTTTATTGTTCTACTCCTCCCTTCTGCACCCTCCCTCCTTCTCCATCCCTCCTTCTCGTCCGTGCTGCTCCCCACTCCCTCCTCCGCCCTTTCTTCCCACCGCTGCTCCGCCGCCCCGTCTCAAGAGGCGAGGGTTGTGGTAGGATGGTGCTGAACCCCTTCCTCCCCCACCTTCCCCCGTTCAGCGTCCTCAACCTGCCTGCATCTCCCTCCGCTGCAGGTTGTCTGTCCTGCGCTGTCAGGATCTGGAGGCGATGTCGTTGATGCAGAAAAAATCGCCTTCACCCTCGTCGGGGAAAGGAACAGGACGGGGAGCGGAAGGGGACGAGCCGGCCGAGGAAGCTGATGGCCGCGTGCGGGGCTGGCGGAGCAAGACAGCAGATACGGACGAGAGCGCGCGCCCGCCAAGGACGGCTTCCTGGACACGCAGGAGGGCGCGAGAAGCACTTGCAGGAGTCATCTCCCCTGTCTGGGCGCCAGTCATTCATGTCATCATTATCGTCGTCGTCATCCTCATCATCACCACCATCCTCATCATCATCATCATCATCATCATCATCATCATCATCATCATCATCATCATCATCATCATCATCACCATCATCATCATCATCATCATCATCATCATCATCATCATCATCATCATCATCATCATCATCATCATCATCAACATCATCATCATCAGCATCATCATCATTCGCAGCATCAACACCATCATCAACAAACTCATGACCATGGATGTGATTGTTCGGGAGTTTAGGCTGCGGAGGTCGGAGCTCCGCCGTCTTACTCCATCGGTCCGCTGACACGACGGTTTCAGTTCTTCGGGCTGCGCAGTCAGCCCGCTCTGCCGCGCCCGAGCTCTCGCGCGGCATCAGCACCGGCTTGGCATTGTGGGGAGCGAGCACCCCCTGTCTTGCGTGCTCGCCATGCCGGTGACCGCCTCCAAGTGCGTCTGCGCGTACTCCTCTCCCATCGCCATCACCGCGGCGGCGCTGGTGATGGGGCTCATCCTGTGCTCTGTGAACGTGCTGGTCGCCGTATGGGGGCTCCCCACGCGTCTGTCCGTGACGCCAGAGTGGCGCGTCGAGGCACCAGTTGTCACCACAGCGTCTGCTTTGCCGATCGAGGAGCAGGCTAGGGGGCAGATCGCCTTCCTGCGCTTACGAGGCACGGCCAGTCGCTAGTCGAGATGGCCGCGTTCCAGGCTGGTGACTGAAATCCCAGGCGAATGCGAGGCTCGTGCTGGCTGTGTGGCCTGCCGCCGACGACGATTATGCCCTGACCCCCCAGTTCGACCACTACGAGGAGACCTTTTTTCCGTCGGCCCCGAATTCAGCGACGTGCATGTGCTGTCCTTCGCCCGGGAGATCCCCGGAGGCGTGGCTGCGGGCACGATCTACGACTTCCAGGCGGCTCCGCCTCAGGCCGTAGTCGACGCGTACGCGCTACTGGGTGCCCATGCGCTGGGGTGCCTTTCGCGCCGTTGCCGCTGGTGAGCCACTTTGGCGCGGCGCCCGCGGCCCCCGCGCCGGCTCTGCCGGCGGCGGTTGTCCCTGCTGCCGCCCCCGCCCCGGGTGCCCCCCTGATCGCACCTGGGGCGGCGGCGGCGGCGCCGATTGGGGGTGGTGTTGGGGCAGCCGCCGCTTTGGGTATCCTTCCTGGTCTCCTTGGCGCAGGCGGTGGGGTGGGCATTGGAAACGTACTGGTGTCGCCCGCGGGGCTCAGTTGGTATGGTTGGAGGATCGGGCTGGCTTTGTGGTTGGCGACTTCGCGTGCCACGCACTGCCCGCAGGGGTCGTCACGCTCGGAGACCATGCCGTCGTGTAGGCCTCGGGACAGTCCATCGGCGCGGGGCAGCTGACGGCCGCGGGCGCGGCGCAGCTCGCGCAGGGGGACATCCACACCCTGTCTGTCAAGATGGACGCCCGGGCGAGCGCCGCTGGGCTTGGGACGATGCGGTGGCGAATTCGACAGTGGGCAAGATCCCTGGCGGCCTTGGCTTGCAGTGGCCGCGCGGGGTCATGTGGTGCCTCGAGCGCGTGCGGAACAACGGGAACTTTGCCTTCCACGCCCACGATAACTGGGTCAGACCCTCGAAGGTGCCAGCTGGCGATAGGAGCGTCTACGAGCATGAGGCGTTCAGCCGCGTCCCCGGCTCGGCAGTAACCAGCTCAATTTTGCGCCCCTTGTCTGCATGGAGCTCCTGGCGCGCCGCCTCGCGCCCATCCAGGAGGCGCGTTGCATCTCGCCGAGACGGCCCGACTACAGCTCGGCCGACCAGTTCATGGGGCGGAGCCGGTGGGCCGGAAGAGCGGCCATCGCCCCGACCCTGTCGGAGCGCGTGTCTGACCAGTTCAAACAGGAGTCGGCGATCGCGAAGGAAGCTCGCAAGGCGAGGTTGGAGGCGGCGGCGCGCTCGAGGGGCGAGGGCGGCAAGGGCGGCACGGGCGAAGGTGGCGCAGCGGCGGCCCACGCCGCCAGGCAGGGGCCCGCGGGGGCAGCGGTTGGGCCCGCCTGCCCCCCTTGCGCGCCGGAGTTGGTTCCCCGACCCTTCAACGGGACCTGAGGTCCAGCGAGTGCCCAGGGAGCTTTTCCCTCTACAGAATCTCGGAGATGCGACGCCAGACGCTTCGAATTTTTCGCATTCGGTGCGCCAACGACATCGGCGACGACGCGCCAAGGGGCTCCGAGTGGACGAGTGCATCGACGCCCTCAACGACCTCTACGACGCGCCTTCTTTCGCGCCGCGTGCGTCGACCCGGGCGGGCGAGTGCATCGACGTTCGCGACGACCTCTACGGCGCGGCTTCGTTCACGCGACGAACGTCGATTATGCCCGCGGCATGCAGGAGCGCGGCCCAGATGGCGGCTCAGCGCACAGTTTTTTGCGGCACGTCCAACCCGCTGGAGTGCATTCTTTTTTCAGCAAGGAGAAGTCGCCCGCGAGCATCTGGGCTCTGGACTCTGTTGCGACGGCGGTGAGGCCACTAGTCCTGTGGCCTGCTACCGTGCCACCTTGATCGCGGCGCTGGAGGGGCAGCCTCCCGCCGCGCTCGATGTCCTCGACCCCCGCGGGGCTCGGCGTTTCCGGATAAATCAGCGCGTGCTGTTTTCTGAAGATGACGTGGGCCAACGATGTGAGAGCGAGCCGCTTGTTGTTCCGCATATGGAACGGACCCTTGCGGTCCAGCGTCACGAGCATGCAGCTTCTGCATCTCGGCTTGATGGCGCCAAAATGCTTCGCTACACAACCGACCCGCAGGATTTGATCACGCCCATCTTCGCACGCGAGAAGACGGGCAAGCTTCGCGTCGTCTGGGACTGCAGGGCGGCCAGCGCAAGGTTCGCGAGCTGCGCCGCGCCATGCGCGCACGGGGGCAGCAAGCAGGTAGGCCCGGAGTTCAGCGCGAGCGAGGAGGTCTGCGCGGCGCGGGCCGACCTCGCAAACTATGTCTATCACTTGGAGATCCCCCCAAAGCTATGAGCATTTCTGGCTCCAGGGCCATGACGTTGCCCTGCTGAGGGGAAGGCGCGTGCTGCCTGCAGCCGTTGCCGACGACTGCGACGGCGCGATCGCGCCCCCCTGCCTCGCCGCGGCGCCGATGGGCCAGCACTCGGCGGCGCAGGTCGCCCAGCGCGTCGCACGCCGCCAGGCTCTATGCAGCGGGGCCCCTGCTGAGCGGGTTCTGCGCGACGGTCGCCCAGCGCCCCCCGTGGCGCGCGGCGAGCCCGCCCTGCTGGACTACGCCGACAACATCAAAGCAGTGGGGTCCGACTCCAGCAAGGCGGGGCCCGTCGGGGGCGAGCGAGCTCGTCGGTCGGTCCCGCCGCGTCGACTTCGTCGCGCGCGAGATCTTCGGGCTTTCGGTCGATGACGTCATTCTGGGCCACGTCGTCCTGGGCCGCAAGAGGCTCGTCGCCCCCGCGAACCGCAATCTGGAGGCGCCGAGGGCAGCGGGCTCGCGACTTCTCCGGCGCCCCCGCGTCAGCGGCAAAGTCTCGGGGCGGTTCGCGCGGCGCCGTGCTCACTTTTGCTTGCGCGTTTATTCTTGCATGGCGGCTCGCGCCGATAGCCGACCGCGTCTGGGGATCCGCGCGCTGGGAGATCCGTTGGCTCGCGGCGCTACCGCCGTTTTGCCGTGCTCGGCCAGACCGGCCGCGGTGCCGGAGGTCGCTGGGGAGCTGGGGGATAGGAAGAGAAGCCCAGATGCAAGACAGGCCTTCCTACCGTCCGCGCTCGCGAACATTCGCTCGGAATTCCAAGCTCTCTCAGCGGCGCCAGCGCCGCGAAGCCCATCGGCGCCCAGCGGGCTCCGGAGGCGCTCGTTGAGAACCCCATCATCGTCGAGATCCCCTGGGAACTCCTGGGCCTCAAGGACTGGCTCGCCGCTCGTTTTCTGGAGGCCAATTGCACCGCGGCGCTGGAAGGCAGGGGATTGGTGGCAGCCCCAAGGCATCGGCTTCGCTCGGTTGGGTCATTCGGTCGCTCACTCCTGCATCTTGGATATAATATATAGTTCATTTTGGTTTCGGGGGGTTTTCCTCGCTGGGCCTGCTGGGCATCTGCGGGCGCCTTCTCGCGCTCTCACTCGCGGCCGATGTGCAGGCGCGGCGTCGCTGGCATCCGTCGGAGCTGAACGCGGCGGATGGCGGGTCGCGCCTCTGGGATTGCGAGAGCGCCCGCCTGCGCGACCCGGAGGCGCCCTGCTTCATCCCAGGCCCATGCGCGTCAGACTAGGTCGTTCCCTTTCGCCTGGACTCTCGAGCGGCATCCAGGAGGTCGCGCGCCTGGTCTGGGGGTCGCCAACCATCTGGCGCCAGCGGCTGCGAGGCCCGCCCTTTGGCCGAGGTATCTCGGGGCCCTCCAAAAGCCCCGCTCTCCCTCGCCGGTGCTTGGCCATCGAGATCACTTCGCCGGAGACGGCCGACGAGGCGATGGCCGCGCTGGCCCAAGAGATGCGCGCCGACGGCGACGACCGCTCCGTGGGGCAGGTGCTCCACGCAGCCTGGCAGGCGACATGCCCGTTGGCAGGCAGAGGGGGCCGCCCATTCCTCGCGCCCTCCGCGCTCTCCAAGCCCGGGGCCGCATCCGCCCGTCCATGACGAAGCCTCCCACGCCGGCGCTAGTGGCCCAGGTGATGGTCGAGTGGGGCGAGCCACTGGCCGCCGCTGCTGGCGGCTCTGCGCTTCGCTTGCGTCCTCGGGCCCATCGGAGGGGCTGAATCTCCAGAAAGCCGACTCTCTTCCCGCGTCCGATTTCGTGGCCATCGACCTGCGTCCCGAGGAGCGGGGGCAGATGTCGAAGACCATGGCGACGAACGAGAGCCTTCTCATCGACCATTCCCCGGGGGTTCTTCATTGGGCAGGCACTGCTGGAGGCCGTGGGGCCCGCTGGAGGCCAGAGGATCTCCCGTTCGCGATGCGGCGGCACGGTGACCGCCTGCGCCCTCT